CAGGGGCCCTGAGAGGTTACATCTCTGGGACAGGCATACACAAGCCTGCAAGGATACAGTAGCGTTTCCCTGCATATGGGCTCTGACCACCAACATGGTCTTCTATCTCCTCAGCTTATTGCCCATCTACTATAAAACAACTGTTACAGTGCAAAGGCTGGCTATACAGATTACTGCTTTAAGGTTGGACTTCAAGTTTACAGACACAGCAGTCACTGAAAGCCCAAAACCCTGAAGCTAGGTGTTCTCCTTGCACAGATTTGTTCACTCTTACGGGCTGTGCTGCCCTGCTGCACTAGTAATGGAGTATCACCTAAATTTCCATTTTCAGAGCTATGAAATAGGAAAACCGTTTAAATCAAATACACCTTGTTGGCAAACATACATTCTGAGAGATGATGCAAACTTGCTCAGCACACCCATGGCAATCAGAGCAGTTTGTCATCTTCTGAAAAATCAGAAACCAGGGAACACCAGGCTGTCTTCAGCAGAGGAAGAATGTCCATGCAGGAGAGTATCTCTGCTCTTCAGTCTCCCCTGCTGTAAAAACTCCTGCCCACAGGGAAGGAAAGAGAATTGCCTCCAGAGTAGGGCTGCTGCTTTACTCGAGTCTTCTGTTTGCGGAATGCAACTGGTTTCGTTACACCTAAGACTGTTTTAAATGCTAGAAGAGCTGTCTCTGTTCACACCAACATATGATCTTTCCATTTACCCAGCTGGATTCTGTTACCAAGTTTCTTGTTCATTACCTGTTTGTTTTTGCAGGATTCTTCAAGGGTGACAAAAGCAGAAATCAGCGGCTAAATACAGGCAAAACATCTCTTGTTGATGTCCTGGCTTTTGAGGGAGGGTTTTTTCTACACCCCTGAATTTCACAGTGTTCAGACTTAAATAGCTAAGTTCCAGTGATACAGAGTACAACACCTGCAGTTGCTTTTTTACAAAGAGTCTAATGGGAGAGAGGAAGGACTCTGTGGAAGTCAGAAAGAGGAAGAAGAAAAGTGGGTTAAAAAGAGGGTGAAGAACATGATGCTGTCAAAGGCAATTTGAGAATGACTGAGAGGTTTAGGGATGTCTGTGTGAGCAGTGGAGTGATGGCACTAGACAGGGAAGCTGCTGGGGCAAAAAACTCTGTGAGAAAAATGGTCCAAATGACTCCCTGTGTCACCATGTTTCTGGAAACATGGGCAACTGCAAAGCCTGAGATAGCCACTGTGAAACCAAGACATGATATAGGAAAAAGCCTGGCCAAAAAGCTCTAGGTGGTTGCAGACACTTACCAGCAATGCCTTAGGAAGTGCTTGAGTAGTATGAGTGTTGAAGGCAATGGCAGCCCTGAGCCACAGACACTGCTTTGAGATTGGAACCTGTTGCCTTTCCTCTCTGGAGCAAGACTCCACCCTCTGCACTTGTCACAATAACTAACAAACGGGAGATCAAACATATCCCTCCCCAGCCCCCAGACCTGGAAGATCGGGTTCGAGCATAACCTTGCCTCTCTGCTGCCACAACACTACCAGCGCGGGAAAAGCCGGTTCTCAGTGGTACATGGGGATGTACATCCATGGTGTGGAGACAGCTAGGGCATGGGTGGGCATCCTGAAGAGAGGGAAGTAAACACTGGGGTTTAAACAGTGGCCCTGTTAACACAGACAAACCACCAAAGGCCCCTGATGAAGGGGCTCAGTCCTGCCCTGCCATGTTACTCCATGGCTCTCAGGCCTTGGGGCAGGGTTGTGCTTCTGCTGGATGGGGGTTTCGGCTCAGGTCCCAGCTGGCTCAGGCCCAAGCAGAAGTAGGAGGAACCACTGTCAAGTAGAAAGTGCTCTTTGTGTGATTGATGACTTTTAATAGAGCCAGCCCCCTCACTCCCCTGCCAGCCTCACTCCCAGCAAGGACCACAGCTACCCACTGCTGCTTCTCACAGGGGAACAGAGAGATGTTGCCCATTCAGGGATTAATTTGCCACTCAATCCCTGGAACGTGACTGCAGCCAATGGAGCTCTGATCCAGCCCATCATGCACTTTTTAAAAGCAGAGGTCATCATGTGGTGCCCAGCCAACCACCACAGCCCTAATTGCCCCAGCAGCACCAGCCCCTTTGTGCTGCCCGTCTGGCTCCAGCTTTTGTTCCCAGGCAGGTCTGCGGTGGCAGTGCTGGGTGTCTGGGCCTGTCCAGCGTGCAGCACACTGTGCCTTCACCAGGCTGCCATTTGTGTGTGGCCACTGGGCACACATGGTAGGCTGGCACATAGAAGGAGGGCATTACAACCTGCAGCTCCTTCCCTCCCTCCTCAGCCAACAACTGTGAGCAAGGCACCTTCCCAGTGGTACACCAGCAGCCCCATACCCTTTGCCCTGTTTTTTTCCCTAGTCAAGTAGACCCTTTCATGCCTGGACCAACCAGCAGGCTGTTTCATTGGTCTTCCAATGGGGCTGAAGGGATGCAGAGAACTCAGTGGTGGATCCTGCCTTCAGAATTCTTACCATGCAGCTCCAATGCTCCAGCTGGTCCCCAAGTAATTCAGAGAACTTCTAGTGGGTGCTGGTAGGCTCCCTCTTTCTTAGCCAGCCCTTGCCTCCTTGCCTGTCCTTGCCTCCTCAGTGTGCAGCCAGCTGCCTCCTCTTCACCTTTGAACAAGGTGTGGTCTCATAGTGGCAGCCATGTAGGATGCCCTGGAGTCCCTCCCTGGCCTTCCCAGAGACCAGGGCTGGGAGCCTGCATTGGTTGACTGTGAAGCACTTGCTAATGGAGCAGGAGACATTTGGCTTTGTTTTCCCAGCCCCACACAAATGACACAAGACTGTGGCATCCCGGGAGCCCCTGGCTGTGCCTGTCTAAGTTCCCCTGCCCTGGTGCTGCTCACCAGACCAGAGGCAGTAGGACATGGATGAGGCCCCCTCAAAAGAAACAGGGTGCAAAAGGGCAGCTCAGCCCCACACCGGCTTCAGGGAGCTAACACAAAGCCTCACCTCCTTTTTGCACCAGGGAAACTGCTGCGAACCCACTAAACCCATTACAGTGGGTTACTGTAAAGACCAAACCAACCCTCTAATCTGAACAGGAGAACCTGCATGGCCTCACTGAAGCTTGGTGCACTCCTGACATCTCTCAACCAGTGCTGTCAGCAGCTCCTTATCCCAAACACTGCAGCAGCACCGCCAGCATTTAAAGGCCCTGACTCAGTGACCCTTTTATGGGTCTGGAGCAGATGGAGGGAGCAGGGAAGGAGAGGAAGGGGTGCTGTGGCTCCTATTTGTAAAGAAAGGCGAGGGTAAGATCAGACCCAGGCCTGGCTGTGGCTGAGTAGTTGTGTTTTAAATAGGTGACTGGAGTTCATCACATCAGATGCTGTTGCAAAGAAGCTAAGTTCCTACTGAGTGTGAAAGGGGGTTGTTTATAATTTATGGGTTTTAAATGATGGGCCAAGAAAAAGTCTGGCTTGTGCCAAAGTGTATTTCTCTTCTGGATTGCTGATGCTTGTACAAACATTGTAAAAATGCCAGTGATCTCGCTAAAGTAACATTACTTCTAATAATTAGGTTATCATCACAGACTTCTATCGCATTACAAACAAGACGCCTCTGCCAGAGTCATGGAGAAGAAAGTGAATTTATTTACAAGAAGATTCCCCCTCACGCATGCTCCTCCTCCTCCCCCACTGGAAACCAAGTCTGCAGACCCCGTCTTTCTGTTCAATATTAAAATAATTCAGGGCAATGTGCCTCAGTAACACTGTGTTTGTGGTTAGGGTTCCTCTGAAACCCCCTTCTTCCTCAGATCTGGGGAAGGGCTATCTATAAACAGCCTTTTCTTTCTTAGCAGATTTAATGAAGGACTAACAGTGTAAGTCAGAGCAGACACTGAAGAACAGCCTACAGGAGCATGAAGCAAAAGGGAAAAGAACACTGGGTTACCCTGCAGAAATAGTGGTGCCTTGATGTTTCGCAGACAGAAGCAGGTGATGCAAAATATATTGTGTTTTCAAGAACACACAAAAAAACTACGTGGACAATTTCACTTGTGGGTACATTGATTACAGAAAATTTTGGAGAGACAAACATATATATATTTATGGAATATTATAGAAGTATAAATCACGAGTGGTTTTTAGCATTACTTTTTGTGTTGTTTCTATGTTTTGTTTACTCCTGGATGGAGCTTCTAAGAAACAATTTGTGTGAAAACTTCCATAGAAAGCAATTTTAGGGCTTAAAATTGTCAAAATATGTCTCAAAAAAAATGTAGTTTATTCTGTTCTGTTTTGTTTACAGATCTGTAACACATATATCCGAATTTGCTTGGTTAAAAGTGAAATTTAACAAAAGATACACTTTTTAATTTAGCACAGCATTGTTAAAATCGCCCAGAGGGGAAAATAAAACCCTAAGTAATATTTTGAATTGTTACTGCTCAGCCGAACATAAATACCAGATGGTGAGAAAGAAAGAAGGGATGGGAAAGAAAAGAAGAATAAATAATGAAAACTTGTCTGTGTTGACCAGGATTGGAGGTGGTAAAATATTTCGAACAATAGGAATGCCAGGTCCTGTCATTAGAGGATGGAATAGGAGCTGCAGTGTTTGTCAAACTGGAAAGTGACACATCAGACACTTTGGTGGGGAATACAGAAGTTTGGATTAATCTTTAACTCGACACTTTTAGAAAGAAAGAAGAATGGTTTTCTCGGAGCGACATGTACTGTCAGGAAGAGACTTTAATAACAGCGTTTACAAAAGAAATAATCTCTGTAAATCCAGCGAGGGGTTCAATACAGCCGTGTAACTAGAGAGGAGGAAACACGAGGGTTCAGAACATCGTTCCCTTTTTTTTTTCTCTTATTTTTTTATCTTCTTCTTTTTTTTTTCCTTCCCCTTGTTAACTGTCCTGTTCGTGTCAGAGGGACTCGGCGGTGCCCCTCTGCCGCAGTCAGGCGGAGCAAGACCGTCCTCGCCGGGCGCCGGGGGAGCGCGGTGGCACCGCCCGGCCTCTGCCCGGACCCTGTCTCGGCGTCTCCCTTCGGCTGTGTGTATCTGATTGTCAATTTTCTTTCAAAGTTTATTTTTATGAAAAAAAAAAAAACAAAACCAAAACAAAACCAAGAGGAAAAGCTTGGGCTTCCAAAGATGTCTAAAAATTGATTTATGGTTAGTATAAAGACAACAGTATAAAAATAACAAAGGAGGCGGCAGCTGCTGCACGGATTGCTATGGAGACCCTAATGAAATTAGCACTATCAGAGGGTTTCTAATTTTTTTGCGCTCTAAGCTTCTAATTTCTATTTCAGATAGCCAGAGTGTAATTTAAAAAAAATAAAAAAATAAAAAAAAAAGAGCCCACCGAAATAATAATACGTGCGATAGATACCCAGCCAATAAATAAATGTTAACCTCACCGAGGTTTTTGTATGCAGGATTTGATCTGAAACAAGATGGCCAATAGCCCCGCTTTGTAGATGGCCTCATCAAAGCGGCTGCGCTTCCAACTAAAGGTGGCTTCACCCGGCCGAGCCAGCTGCCAGCCAAGCCACCGAGGCGCTCGAGTGGGGCCAGCCGGTTAGAAATAAATACTTTAAAAATACTCTCAATATTTTTTTAAGTGTAATGGCTCTTTGTGTGATGCCACAGTTTGTTTTACTCTATTAATGATTTACGACTTGCTGTCTTAATTAATCCTTACATAAACTACAAACACCAGCCACTGTTACAACTGTTCAAGACTACTCTCTCAACTAGCTCAGACCGATTATACTAAATAGGTGAAATGTAAGTCACCACGGACCTGAATCGCTCTCCCGAAGTACTGGTGAAGAAACTCTACAAATACCCACATAAATACATTAAGACGAGGATAAATAATCAGTGATACAAAAAATGTCTCGCTTAAAATAATAAATACATATCATTTAGTCCAATGTGATCCTTACGTTACGGAGGAATTCATAAATTAACTTCTCTGAAATAAGCTTACACGCGGGCGAGTTCCCACGGCTTACGACTGGTCTAAAACACCTCAGCATGACGCGCTGCTAACACTACGGCATTTCTAAGACTTACCTTCAAGTACATCATTACCAGCTTATCAGTCCCTCGGTTGGCAGTATATTGCACTGTCATGCTTAAAACAGCTCTAAGAGAAAGGCTCCTGCTCACGGACCTACTCGGGGGTGCGGAAGAAAGAAGGGAGCTGCTAGGGGAGACAAATCCACTAATACTGTTGGCACTCGAGAGCACAGTAACACTGTCCCGTCAGAAAAGTGAGGTAATGGAGAGGGGAGTGGGCCCCGCCGGCCGCCGCCCCGCTACAGATGCGTGAGCTTGGGCGCCTCCTGCATCCGTCCCTGAGAGGTGTGGTGAGAGGAGAGGTCCGTGTAGGTAGGGTGGGGGTCGCAAGGTCCGTGGTGGTGGCCGCCGGGGATCTGTGCGGCGCAGCTGTAGTCCACGCTAGCGGAGGAGGGGTGCTGCAGGTGCCCCAAGTTGAACATGGGGCCTGAGGCTGGCATCGAGTCCACGAAGTTGCCCCCCACGTAGACGGGGCTGCCCTGCAGGCTGGGGTTGGCGAAGCCGCCGCCGCCGCTCTGCATGGGGTGGGGGTCGTACTCCGCGCCCGCGTAGCGCTTCTGCTGCGGCAGGCAGCTGCTCAGCGGCGCCGTGTAGGCGGCCAGCCCGTACATGCTCTGCTGGGACTTGGCGAAGGAGGTGGGCGAGGGCGCGTCGTAGCTGAGGCTGTTGACGCCGGGGAGCTGGCTGGAGTAGCCGACGTGGTTTGGGCCGCTCAGGGGGGGGGCTGCGGTCCGGGGACTGTCCGACGGGGGAGTGCATGATGCCTTTGGCTTTTTGGTCCTTTTTGTACTTCATCCGGCGGTTCTGAAACCAGATCTTGATCTGCCGCTCGGTCAGGTTGAGCAGGTTGGCCATCTCCACACGGCGCGGTCGGCACAGGTAGCGGTTGAAGTGAAACTCCTTCTCCAGCTCCACCAGCTGCGCGCTGGTGTAGGCTGTGCGCACCCTCTTGGAGGCCGGCCCGGGGGGGCTCTTGTCCTCGCAGCTCTCTCCTGCGGGGAAGAGGCACAAAGACACGTTGGTCTCCCCAGAAAACCCCCCCTTCCCCTTCCTCCCGGGGTCCCTCGGAGCCCCGCCGTCCCCTCTCGCTCTGCCGGCACCCAGGGAGTGGGCACAGGGAACCCGGGGGTGCCCTCCCACCCCTCGCTGCCCGACATACACACCCTCCCGCAGCTAGCTCCCCCCACAGACCCCCAGCGGCCCCCCGTCCAGGTGCTACCGAGAGCCGTCGGGGCTGCGCCTGCCGCCGCTGGGCTGGTGGGGGAGCGAGGCGGGAGCCCCTAGCCTGCCCCACCTACAGCGCCCGGCAGGGCCGGGACCCCCGAGCGGGGGGTGTAGCCGATAGTAGCTGGAGGAGTAGGGGACAAGGTGCGGGACCAGGGACCTCAGCCAGAGGGGTTCAGCCCGAGGGGCTCAGCCCGACCCCCTGGGCAAACGGTGGGCTGGGGCGAGGGTGTTGGGCTACCTGGGGGGGCGCAGGTGCTTTTCTGCTTGGAGTTCTGCCGGGACTCCTTCATCCAGGGGAATATCTGCTTGCTGAGAGTGGCGGTGGCCGAGCCCGAGGAGTTTGGGCCCCCCTTGGCTTTTTTCGGAGGGGGCACACTGGGAGGGGGGTTGGGCGGGGAGGAGGGCGGCAGGGCCGGGGGTTGCTGCTCGCCCATCCCCGGGGGCTGACTGCCCCCGGGGCCGCCCCCGCCCGGCCGCATGCAGCTCCCGCTCAGCTCGCTGCCCTTGTGGGCCGGGGCGCGTCCGGGCGCCGAGCCCTGGACGGAGCAGGCGGAGCCGGGGTACTCGCTGTCCAGGCCGGCCTGGCCGTAGGGCTGGTGGGCCGCGCCGTAGGGGTAGGCGTCGGCCTTGCTGTAGGTGTAGCCCCCGAAGAGCCCCGCGTTGTCGTAGTAGGCGGCTTTCTGCATCCTCTGCTCTGCGATCGCCGAGGCCCGCGGCCCCCGCTCAAATAACATTGACCGCCGCCCTGCGCCTCACGTCGTCGGCCCAGGCCACTCGCAGCCACCTGGGGAGGGAAACAGCGGGGACACAAAAGAGGCTTTCAGTGGGGGGAGCCCCTCAGCCCAGCACCCTCAGCCTCAGCCTCCCCACCATGGGAGGACTGGGAGACATCAAGGAAGGAGCAGGGGACATCAAGAAAAGAGCAAGAGACACCAGATTAAGAGCAGGGGACACAAGGGAAGGAGCAGGGTCACCAGGCAGGAGCCCGTGCAAACTGGGGCACCCCAGAGAGCAGAGTACACCAGGGAAGGACCGAGGCACAGCAGTGAAAGAGTCACCCAAGAGCGATGGTGCAGGGGGGAACGGGGACACATTGGTGGGACTTCTACAGGCCACCTTTTGAGGCATTCTGGGACATGTTTCATTGCTTTGCTTTGTCTTTGGACTGTTCCCGCTCGAGTTTGGCTGGATCGCCCTCCGCGGTTCTAGGCGAGGGCCCTCAGTGAGCAGCTGTGCTGGGTGGTGTCCCCAGAGACCCACCGGCCCATTTCGGCCGGGAGCACCCGCGCCCCCCGCACCTCACGCGTGCGCACGGCCGTGCACGGCTGACATGATGGATGGAGCCCGGGCTGCGGCCGGGCAGAGGCAGAAAAATCCCGTCCCCTTTGTAAACCCGCCCTTCTTCTTCCCCTGGATTCCTCCAGAGTTAAAGTATAACCGGCGCCATTCACTCCCTTCACTTTGCACCATAAAGGAAGTCTCAGGTCAGCTCCCCTATTTTAATTCTGTGATTAATTAAATTCCCTCACCCAGCGTTTCTCGTCCTTTTTATTTGTACCCAGTAGAAAGAACCTGAGACATTTGAGATAATTTTTAGGGGATTCTTTTCTTTTTCCAGCCTGTAAATTTATGGCGTTCCTCTCCGCGCCCTCCCACATCAGGCTGCTCACACCAAAAACGCAAGGTCCCCCTAGGGCAGATATATTGGGGCAGAGCTGTTGCCTTCCTCCTTGCTGCTCCCAAAACTTCTCTGCGTTTCGTACAACATGGAAACTGTTCCGCATTTTGTTGCGGCTTTTTAATATTCCCTCTTCCTATTTTTCTTGTTGTATAGGGCTTTTCTCCGACATTTTTGGTAATTTTGTAAGTTAGCACAGGCTTCACCTGGCAATGTAAGTGTGTAACTCAATGTATTTTAAGATTTGTTGTATTTCTGCAGGATTTAAGCCTATTAACGTACCAGAGAAGAGTAGCTAGAAAATTTTGAACACTGTCCGATAATTATAGTTCTCCAGCCTATACTTAAACAATACTACCACAGTATTCCTTTTTCTCCCCCAGCAATTGGTCCTGCCAAGTACCGCTTATATGTTCTCTAAAGTTCACCGGGAAACACATCTCTGTAAATAAAAATACCCTCAGCGAGCTGCGATCCGCGGCCCCTCTTGCAGGTTTATCCCATGTCACAAACCGCCGGGGTCCTTTTCTTCCCTGAACAAAAGCTTGGGATGATCCTTGAAGCTGATGGAAACGGGAAAAGAACTGTATTTCTCTCCTGGAAAATTTCAGTTTAAAAAGTCTACAGGAATGAACGGTGGCGATACAGATGAGTTTTAATACACTGTGATAATCTTGACGAGTCTTGAAAGTATTTTTGTCCAAATAACTCTATCACTCGTTTCCCACTTCTATCATCTACATTTTCAAGAGCGGTCTGGACTGAGGAGTTTTGTTAGCACAACACTGGCCTAAACGTAGGCTTTTATGTGCCTTGTGAAATATAGTTCCCAAAAGAATACGCAGAATCTTAAGAAAGAATATTGCTGTTAAGCTGTTAAAAGCCTTATTTCTTTTCTGAAATACCAACTGCTTGTGAACTCTGCTTGAACCTAAAAAGGAGGCTATGGGCCATAAATCACATGGACAATGCTCAACTGTTTGGTGGCTCATCTTTAGATCTTAAAAAGAGAGAGAGGGAGAGAAAGAGTGAGACCTTTCCAGGGTTTGATTTTTCTACGAGTGCAAGGCCCGGGGTGATGTTTTTATAGGTAACACCAAAGCAGGGGCTCAACACTTGGTGGTTTGGCCAGAAACAGCCTCAAGGGGGAAAAAAAAAAAAAAAAAGTGACATCCAAATGGTGAGGCCGAGCTGTGGGAGGTGGGCTCGGAGGCACTGAGGGTAGGAAACCGCAAAGTATCCATGTCTGTGTTTCAGATTTCCCTTCCTCCTCTCCAGAAAGATTTAACCTCATCTGAACTGTTAGGCGTTGCACATGACGATGAGACTTTTTGTCCTGCCACTGGTTCCAGCGCTTTTGGGGGATACCGACCCTCTAACGGCTCTGCCCGGGGAGCAGCCGGGAGCTCACGCCTCCACCCGCGCGTGTGCGTGGAATGCGGCTGGCCCACACTGACACCGGCCCGGCGCTGCCAGGCGCTTTCCTCCCGACACTTTCATATTAAGCAGTTCTCTACTAAAACTTCCACTACACTTAATTCTGCTTCGGATCAATATCTAATATGATACCGAATAAATAAGAGGCGGTGAGAGTGGCCAGCGAAGCGGTTATTAAAGCAGCCGGAGCTCTCAGGGTGCATATCAATGCACCTGTCATTGCGGTTTGTAACAAAATTTATGACTGCTAGCGCCGTGGCAGTAAACGCTCCGGCCAGGAATGAAAAGGAAAACACTTCCCAAGCCCCGGCACTTTCAGAAGTGCAAAGCAGCCGGCGCGTAGGAGGGAGCCCGGCAAAAGAATCCCCCGCTCGGCACGTTTCCCGGCCGCCGGCCCGGGGCAACCCTGTATATAAGGAAAGCGCTGGAGCCGCCGCCGGACCCGGCCGCGGGCTGGGCACCCACTGCTGGGGCTGCGCTTGAACCTCAGACGAGGGATGTCTCGTCTTTGAGGGCGCTGAGAGCTCTGGGGAGCGCGAAGGAGCCCCACGAGATACGGAGCGGTGGCCGCCGTGGGGCCTCTTTAGATCAGCTACGGAGCCCCCCCAGGGAGCCACCCGCTCCCCGCGGCTGAGTCCAGGGCTTGGCTGCTCCCCAGCCGGGCTCGGCTCCCGCGGAGCAGGGGCCGCTTTCTACGGGCTGTTCATTATCTGACGTGGGGGGCGGCGGCGCTCCCCGGGTGCCGCCGGCGAGGGTTAGACCGGGAGCCGCCGGGCGAGGGCCCGGCTCGGCGGGCCGGGGCCGGGCTGTGCTCCCTGCGACGGGCTTGTCGCGATAGGGGAAGCGAGAGATGGATGGAAAAGGAAATTTAGAGAACTCACCACAATTATGTTTTTTCTTGATTTTTGACTTTAACTGTGTGAGTAGGATCTTCAGGTTCCTTTGGATAATCCGTGGGCACGGACCTGCAACAGAAGTGATAACTCTCAGCGGAAACTGCTTTGTTTTGGACTTTCTTCCTTAGGACTTTGTTAATAAATGCACATCTCGTCCTCAGCCCCTCACCGTGTCTCTCCGTCCGCGTCAGACCTTTTACAAGACAAAGGGCAGATGTTTCTCTTCATTTATTAATAGCGCTTTGAGAGAGGCGGGGAGAAAACAAACGAGCAAAATACTCCGGTTGCGGGTCGGACCCGGACAGTGCGGCCTGCAGCAGCCGCTCCGACGGGCCCCGCACACCGGCCGCGAAGCCGCACCCGCCTCTCCGAGCGCGCAGCGGGGGCCGAGACGCGGAGAGGCAGCGCAGGGGGGTCCGGGAACGCCTTTGCAGGGGAGCTGCGGGCACCTTCGATGGTCACAACCACCGCACCGCACCCACGGCCCGCGGAGCCCTCGGCGGAAACGAAGCTAGCGCGGGTGTCTCTCCATTTCTCCCCCCCAGACCCCAAATAAGACAGAGAGAAAGATAAGCGAAGAAGCCCCAGCACTGAAAACGCACCGCAAATATTTGTGTCTCGAAATTAGTATTTTGCGTTTGGCTGTGCAATGTGTCGATTCAGGACTTTAAGAACTTAAGAGTGCCAGAAAATCCCCCACAAAGAAGCCCAGGTCATTATAAAGACGATATCTAGCCACCATAAGCCTTTGAAATGACCTTTGGCTCGTACAGCAATAACTCACCACTTAATGAACAACCAACGGAAGCGCCTCCGATAGCTCACAACACAACAGACCTTACAACTTTCCACCAAGTCTTCTCTCTCCCTAACCAAACTCAGTAGGATGCTACATTCCCCTTCCAAATCACCTTAATTTATGCTGGCAAACAGGAGTTAGGGAAGTGGAGCTTCATGATTACACATGATGCTCTCTCAGGTTCCTGGCCTGGGCCTGTCCCGGTAACGTCTTATATAATATATTCACGTGGGCGTACGTCAACTTTAAGTGCCTTATTTTTTTTCAAGATAATTCATTAGAAATAGCACTTTACAGGGTGTATGAAGGCAGCCTAAGTTGGGTTGCACCTTAGCCCCTGAGAGGAGAGATCATAATATTGCAAACCGAGTCATTGTTAGCCGCTGTTGATTAACACGGTAAGTTTTCATTTCGTGACTAATTAATTATCGACTTCTCATCCCTTTCCGAAGCAGCTTCTCAGCCTCAAAGCGATAGCTTTCTTGCTCTAGACATGCTTTATTTAGCCAGAGCTTGGCCAAATACCAGGATTTCCACGGCCACAGGAAGAGCCCCCAAAGTTTGTACTGCGAAGAGAGGAGTTCGGGCACGCTGGAGTTGTGCTCGACTCCCAGCTCTTGGAGAAGACGTTGCCAGAGCTAAACCCAGGGAAGTCTTTAGAATTATTTAGGTGTGGGACCAGTATAGATATTATTGAAATTTTAGGTGAAGTTATAACTGAGTGCTTCCATCGAGCCAAATGAAATGCTGCTTGCAGTAATTGGATTCAGCTGACTAACTTGGCAGGCCAGCAGCTTGGAGGCATACAGCTAAGAAAAATGTTCACTGCTTTTAACTTCTGATCGAGCAGAGCAACACTCAATAGAAAATAAAAATAAAAAAATAAACACCTTAACTTTCTCCCTTTCCCTTCGCCTCCCGCCCTGTTTCCCGCGGGGCACTCCGACCCCCGCGGAGGACTCGCCCGGGTGACTCGGGGCGGTCAGAGTCTGCTACAGCCTTACACAGGCTCCTGCTCGACAGCACAACTCCGGGCTTTACGCAGGAGCTTTACAACAGACAATCGAGAGTTCGCCCGGGCTCCACGCAGGCCACCAGTCAGTGGAAACAGGCGTTCCTGGGAGAGCCGGGCTAGTTGCAACAGCCCAAGAGGGAGCTGAGATGTAAGTGTATGCGGAGAGGCTGTGTGGTCGCTACCAGATCCCTAGTTCGCCCAGAGAGGCACCGGTCCCCCCCAGGCATCTTCCCACAACCTTATTGATCAAACCACACAAACGCAGGACAAGAAACTTCTCAGTAGATAAATATCAAGCCGTGCTTCAAATAGCATGTGTAACTCGAAGGCATGAGCATACCGGTAATAGCAGCACTAAAACAACTTGGGGAGGAAAACAACAGCCACTAAGGAAAACGAATGCACGGAGGGGGGAAAAGGTTCAGGAAGACACTTGGCACGAATATTTAAGAGACCCTATATAAGAGCTACATTACCGATGAGCCTATTTTAAATCGCCCTTTACAAACCAACACGGCCACCCCCTGCCCGGCTATCCACGGCAACGCATTAACGTGATGCTCAATCTTACTTTGGCAATGGGAGCATCTAGCAAAGTTGTCTCTCTCTCGCTTCTTTGCTTATTTGTAATTCTCTTCCTGAAACCACCCAAAATTGGGAAAAGGATAGGGTTAAACGTAATCCTCCAGCCTTTGGAGAGGACTCCACTTTTTATTTAAAGAACATAATACAAAGAAGATACAGCTTAAAACGTTCAAGGAGGTGGAGACCACTCCATATAGTTGCAGCTGCTATGGGCAGAGATCGCAAACAAATTCCAGACCGTCTCTGAGTAAAGGCGATAATACAGCCCCTGCGGTTAAACGTCCCATTTTGTCATGCAGTTGCTTACCTGTGTATCAATTTATCATAAACCTGGGTTCCTCACTTTTCAGGATCTGCGCTTGCAGTTCTTAGAATATATCCTTCACCCTTTGTCTGCAGACAATACTCTCCTAAACCTGATCTTGCGGTTTTACAGACATTTCCATACACCAGAATTCCCGATAGAACGAAAACAGGCTCAGGCTCAACTACCAATAAAAGAAAGCGAGTGGAAATCGGAATTTGTTGGGCTTTAAAAAAAAAAAAATCAACACACAACCCTTTAGCCATCAGCGTCCTGGAACCAACGACAGCAATTGGCCGGCTCCTGGTTTGTTTTGGTTTTAAATCGTGCGGCCATTGATGAATTTTGGGGGCGAGCAGGAGAAATCCCTTTATAATCAGAAATATAGGCACTGCCTTAAAATACAGGCATATTGGCCCACGTGATCGCAGAGCAGCGCGCCGGGGCCGAGGCTGGCGCGCTCCCCGCGCCCCCGCTCAGCGGGAATGCCGCGCCGGGC